TGTCCCCAAACCGCCCCCGAGGAGGGGGGGGGTCCAGTCCCGGGGGGGGCGAGCGGGCGACCCCCTCCCCCCCAAAAAAAATCCTTTTGTTCTGGATTCAGAATAACGAGCGTTGGCTCATTAATTAATCAATTGCTAATTGGGCTGCTTGGGGGGGCTTTGGTGTCCGCACGAGGACGGGGCTGGCGGTCTGGGGGGGCTCTGGGGGGTCTCGGGGCCAGCGGGCAGAGACCCCCGCTGTGGGGGGGGTCCTTTATGGGGTGCAGCCCCCCTGGAGCCCCCGGCCCCGAGGGGCGGCCGAGCCCAAATCCCTCAAATCGCCCCCAAATCCCTGAAATCGCCCCCAAATCACCAGGGAAAAGGGGGGGTGGGTCTGTGGGGACCCCCAAACCCCCTCCCCACCCGGCCAAGGCAGTGCCAGCAGATGGATTTGGGGGAACCCTGGGTCCTGGATGGGGTACCCCCCAAAATCCCCCAAAACTCCCCCCAGGAATCCCCCAGGAATCCCCTCCTGCGGGGATGTGGTGGGCGGGGGGGTCTCTGGGGGTCCCCAAATCCTGCGGGGATGGTTCAGTCCCGGTCCTGGCTGGTGTACCCCCAAAATCCCCCCCAAAAATCCCTGGGGTGGGCGGGGGGGTCTCTGGGGGTCCCCAAATCCTGCGGGGATGGTTCAGTCCCGGTCCTGGCTGGTGTACCCCCAAAATCCCCCCAAAAATCCCTGGGGTGGGGGTCTCTGGGGGTCCCCAAACGCCGCGGGTCCCCGTCCCGGTCCCGGCTGGGCGATCCGGCTGCCAAACCCTCCCCGCTGCTGTTCCGGTACCACCGGGCACCTCCGGAGGAATCCTTGTCACCCTCACACCCCCAAAACCCCAAAAACCGCCCCCCTCGCAGGAGCCCTCGGCGTCGCGCACGTTGTACTCGCCCTTCTTGCACGCCGTGCTCTTCAGGTAAAAGCCCCCGGCCGCCGCCAGCGCCAGCGCGGCCACCGCGCCCAGCGCCCCCAGCGCCGCCAGCGCCGCCAGCCAGCTCTCTGCGGGGCGGCAGCGCCGTCACACCGGCACGGGGACACCGGGACGGGGACACAGCGGGACGGGGACACCGGGAAATCCTGCGGGGATGGTTCAGTCCCGGTCCTGGCTGGTGTACCCCCAAAATCCCCCCAAAAATCCCTGGGGTGGGGGTCTCTGGGGGTCCCCAAACGCCGCGGGTCCCCGTCCCGGTCCCGGCTGGGCGATCCGGCTGCCAAACCCTCCCCGCTGCTGTTCCGGTACCACCGGGCACCTCCGGAGGAATCCTTGTCACCCTCACACCCCCAAAACCCCAAAAACCGCCCCAAAAAACCCCTCGGGGCCGGGGTTGGGGTTGGGCCGGGGCCGGGCCGGTCACGGCGGGCTCAGCTGGATCCCGAGCACGTCCCCGCGGGGCCGGGGCCGGTGCCGGTGCCGGGGCCGGGGCCGGGCCGGTCACGGCGGGCTCAGCTGGATCCCGAGCACGTCCCCGCGGGGCCGGGGCCGGTGCCGGTGCCGGGGCCGGGGCCGGGCCGGTCACGGCGGGCTCAGCTGGATCCCGAGCACGTCCCCGCGGGGCCGGGGCCGGTGCCGGTGCCGGGGCCGGGGCCGGGCCGGTCACGGCGGGCTCAGCTGGATCCCGAGCACGTCCCCGCGGGGCCGGGGCCGGTGCCGGTGCCGGGGCCGGGGCCGGGCCGGTCACGGCGGGCTCAGCTGGATCCCGAGCACGTCCCCGCGGGGCCGGGGCCGGTGCCGGTGCCGACGGGGGCACCGGGACAGGGACACAGCGGGACGGGGACACCGGGACAGGGACACACCGGGACGGGGGCACCGGGAGGGTCACAGCGGGCACGGTCACACCGGGAGGGTGACACCAGGTTGCTGACACCAGGCACAGTCACATCAGGTCAGTCACACCGGGATGGTGACATCAGGTCAGTCACAGCGGGCACGGTCACACCGGGATGGGGACACCGGGCACGGTCACACCAGGCACAGTCACACCGGACACATTCACACCGGCTCGGTCACACCGGACACAGTCACACCGGACACGGTCACACGGGGTCGGTCACACCGTCACGGTGCCACCGCCGCGCCAGGCACAGTCACACCGGGTCGGTCACACAGGGATGGTCACACCAGGATGGTCACACCGGGTCGGTGACACCGGGCACAGTCACACGGGGTCGGTCACACCGGGTCGGTCACACCGTCACGGTGCCACCGCCGCGCCCCCCGGCCCCGCTCACCGTCCACCCTCACGGCCACGCTGGCGGCGCTGCGGCCGTGCCGGTTGCTCGCCGTGCAGGTGTAGAGGCCCCGGTTGGCCGCCGTGGCCCCGGTGACCGTCACCGAGCGGTTGTCGGCGGCCAGGCGCGCGTTGGGGGCGGGGGGCAGCGCCCAGCTGTAGGTGGGCGCCGGGACCCCCTCGGCGCCGCAGTCCACGGTGAAGCCGCCGCCGCGGGTGACGTTGGCCGAGGGCAGGACCCGCAGGGTGACAGCGGCGGGGCCGTCTGCGCCGGGGGGGGACACGGCGCTGTGAGGCTGCCCCGGGGCCCCGGGGGTCCCCGGATCGCCCCCCGCACTCACACTCCACGGCCACGGTGACGTTGCGGACGGCGGCGCCGTGCGCGTTGCTGGCCCGGCACTGGTAGGTGCCGGCGTGGGCGCGGGTGACGTTGCGGGTGGCGCGGGGGGGGTCCCGGCTGTCGGTGGCGTTGGCGGGGTCGCCCAGCTTGGCGCAGGTGACGCGGGGCGGGGGGTTCCCGCTGGCGGCGCAGCCCAGCTCGGCCGGGGTCCCCTCCAGCCACCGGCGCCGCTCGGGGCAGCCGCGCTCGCCGAGGCTCGGCTGGTCTGGAGGCGGGGGGAGGCGGCGGGGGAGGCGGTGATGGGGCCGGGGGACCCCCGTGGGACCGCCCCGACCCGCCCGGGATCCACCGGGAGCGGCCCCGGCGCCGGCGGGAGCGGTGCGAGCACAGCCGGGCTCGGCCTCATCCCCATCCTCATCCCATCCCCGTCCTCATCCCCATCCTCATCCTCATCCTCCTCCTCATCCTCATCCCCATCCCCATCCTCATCCCCATCCTCATCCTCATCCTCATCCTCATCCTCATCCTCATCCTCATCCTCATCCTCATCCTCATCCTCATTCTCATCCTCATCCTCATCCCATCCCCATCCTCATCCCCATCGATCCCGGCACGGCTCTGGAATTCCCGGCATGGATGTGGCATCCTTGTCCCCTCCGATCCCTGTCCCACCCCTGTCCCTTCCCTGTCCCGTCCCTGTCCCCCCCAGATCCCCGTCCCACCCTGCCCTATCCCCAGCCCGGTGTCCCCTCCCGTCCCCGGTGTCACACTCACACTCCACGGTGACAAGGACGCTCCTCACGGCCACCCCGTGCCTGTTGGTGGCCCTGCACACGTAGCGGCCGCCATCGGCCCGGGTGACCACGCGGCCGCGGGCGACTCCTCCGTGCTGGGTGCCACCGGGGGTGGTGCCATCATTTCGGGTGCCACTGTGGTGGGTGCCACCGTGGTTGGTGCCACCGTGGCTGGTGTCACCGTGGTTGGTGCCACCGTGGTCGATGCCACCGTGATCGGTGTCACCGTCGCGGGTGCCACCGGGGTTGGTGCCATCATTTCGGGTGCCACCGTCGCGGGTGCCACCGTGGTTGGTGTCACCGTGGTTGGTGTCACCGTGGTTGGTGTCACCGTCTCGGGTGCCACCGTGGTTGGTGCCACCGTGGTTGGTGTCACCGTGGCTGGTGTCACCGTGGCTGGTGCCACCGTCGCGGGCGCAGCGCGTGCTGGGCGGGGGGTCCCCGTCGGCGCGACACTCCAGCTGCCGCCGCTGCCCCTCCAGCCAGACCCGGCGTGCCGGACACCCCGCCTCGGACAGCGTGGGCTCATCTTGGGGGGGGACACAGAGGCGGGTGTCACCGTGGCTGGTGCCACCGTGGCTGGTGCCACCGTGGCTGGTGTCACCGTCGCGGGTGCCACCGTCGCGGGCGCAGCGCGTGCTGGGCGGGGGGTCCCCGTCGGCGCGACACTCCAGCTGCCGCCGCTGCCCCTCCAGCCAGACCCGGCGTGCCGGACACCCCGCCTCGGACAGCGTGGGCTCATCTTGGGGGGGGACACAGAGGCCACCCGGTCACCGCCGCGGCCACCGCGGGGACCCGGCAGCGCCGCGGCGGCGTCCCCGGTGCCACTCACACTCCACGCGGACGGTGACGCGGCGGCTGCGCGTCCCCAGCGCGTTGGTGGCGTTGCACAGGTAGGTCCCGGCGCGGGCGCGGGTCACCGGCTCGGGCTCGCCGGTGGCCACGGCGACGCCGTCGCGGCCGCACACCACGGTGGGCGCGGGGTTGCCGGTGGCGAGGCAGGACAGCGCTTCCCGCGAGCCCCGCACCCACGTGCGGTTGCCGGGGCAGCCGCTGGCCGGGATTTCGGGCAGATCTGGGCGGAAAAAAAGGGATTTGGGGCGATGCCGGGAGGGGCGGGCGGCGCCGCGCCGGGGCGGCACTCACAGAGCACGGCGAGCCGCGCCTCCGCGTCCTTTGTCACCACGCTGTCGCCCACGGCCAGGCTGGCCCGGCAGCGGAATTCTCGGCCGTCGTCGTCGCGCCGGGCGAGCAGCCGGAGCTGCAGCCGGGGCTGCGGGCCCTCGGCCAGGACCCCGCCGTCCGCATCGCGGAGCTGCAGCCGCGCCGCGGGCGGCTCGGTGGCCCCGGCGTGGCATGTCACCGTCACCTCGCTGCCCGCCGCCGCCGGGGCCGGGCTCAGCTCCAGGGCGGGCGCGGGGAACCCTGCGGGAAGGTGCCGCGCGTGGATCCGAGGGGGTCTCGGGGTCCCGCGGGGTCCCCGCCGCTCCCCCCGGTGCCTTACGGTAAACGTGGAGCTGCCTCCGCGCCGTCCGCGCCGCCGAGGCCACGGCGGCCGTGCAGCTCAGCTCCCGCGGGCCCGGGCTGCGCGGGGACAGCTCCGCGCTGGCCGTCACCGTGTCCCCGGCCACCGCCACCGTGACGTTCAGCGGCTCCGGGCCCAGCGCGGCCGTGACGCGGGTGTCCCCGGCCGGGAAGGCGCCGGCGATGCGGCAGCGGGCGGTGGCCGCGGTGCCGGCCTCGAGGATGGCCGGGGCCTGGAGCTGCGGGGGCTCCGGGAGAGCTGCGGGGACACCGGGGGGACACGGGCTCACCGGGACCGGGACACGGCCCCAGAGCAGGGACAGAGTCCTGGTGACAGCGAGGTCACCGTGACGAGGACAAGGACAAAAACCAGGTCTGGGACACGGCCCCAGAGCAGGGACAGGGACAGGTAACAGTGAGGATGACATTGAGGTCACCGTGACGAGGACAAGGACAAAAACCAGGTCTGGGACACGGTCCCAGAGCAGGGACAGGGTCCCAGTAACAGTGAGGATGACATTGAGGTCACCGTGATGGGGACAAGGACACAACACCAAGACCAGGACATGGCCCCAGGAGCAGGGACAGAGTCCTGGTGACATCGAGGTCACCATGACGGGGACAAGGACACAACAGTGGGACTGGGACACAGCCCCAAAGCAGGGACAGGGTCCCGGTGACAGCGAGGTCACCGGGACAGGGACAAGGACACAGCGCCGCCACTCACCGAACACCGAGAGCGTGACGGGGGCAGCGGCGCGGGCGAACAGGGGCCCGTGTGGCCGCAGGGACAGCTCGGCGTGGCAGGTGACGTGCTGGCCGTGGTCGCCGCGGGTGGCGGTCAGCAGGTGGCTCACGGCCACGCTGGCGCTGCCCTCGGCGTCGCCGAAGCTCTCGGTGCGCAGCGTCTCGGCGCCGCGCCGCAGCGTCACCGTCAGGTTCCGCAGCGGTGCCACCCCCAGCACGCGGCACGTCAGGGTCCGGCTGTCCCCGACCGCCACCGGCGCCACCGGCTCCAGCTCCACCCGCTCCGGCAGCTCTGGGGACGAGCAGCACGGTGTCCCCACGGTGTCCCCACAGTGTCACCCTTGGTGTCCCTACAGTGTCCCCTCGGTGTCCCCAAGGCATCACCCTCAATGTCCCCACAACTTCACCCTCAGTGTCGCCTCAGTGTCCCCTTAGTGTCCCCACAATGTCACTCTTGGTGTCCCTATGGTGGGCCCTCAGTGTCCCCACGGCATCACCCTTGGTGTCTCCTCGATGACACCATGGTGTCACCCTTGGTGTTCCCACAGTGTCCCTTCAGTGTCCCCTTGGTGTCCCCACAATGTCACCCTCGGTGTCCCCACAACATCACCCTCGGTGCCACCACTGTGTCACCCTCGGTGTCCCCTCGGTGTCCCCACAACGTCACCCTCGGTGGTCACCCTTGGTGTCCCCTCGGTGCCACCACGGTGTCACCCTCGGTGTCCCCTTGGTGTCCCCATGGCGTCACCCTCAGTGTCGCCTCGGTGTCCCCACAACATCACCTTTGGTGTCCCCTCAGTGTCCCCACGGTGTCACCCTCGGTGTCCCCTCGGTGTCCCCACAACGTCACCCTCGGTGTCCCCTCAGTGTCCCCATGGTGTCACCCTTGGTGTCCCCACGGTGTCACCCTCGGTGTCCCCTCGGTGTCCGCACAATGTCCCCCCATTGTCCCCCCGGTGTCCCCGGTGTCCCCGGCACTCACGGTACACGAGGACGCCGGCGCTGGCGTTGGCCTCGGTGTCGCCGCAGCGTCCGGAGCAGGTGAGGGGCCCGGGGTCCCAGCGGGACACGTTGTGCAGCCGGAAGCTCTGCCAGCGCAGCCCCCCGGCCGCGGGGGTGGCGGGCAGGGGGGTCTCCAGCCCCAGCGTGGCGTTGTCCCCCGGGCAGGCGCTGCGGCTGCAGTTGACGGTCACCGAGCCCCCGAAGGCCACCACGGCCACCCGCGGCCAGGCCGCCACCGTGAAGGAGCCCCGGGCCACCCCTGCGAGACCCCCACCACGGGCAGTGCCCCAGCTCCGGCCGGGGGGCTCCGGTGGAGCTGGACAGAGACCCCTCCCCACTGCCGAGGTCCCGGGGTGTCCCCGCGTGTCCCCAACCCCCCCGGCCCTGAAGGTCCCTCTGATTTCCTGGGGGTCCCTGCGTGTGACCCCCCCCCTCCCCCGGTTTTAAGGGTCCTCACTATTGGGTTGGGGGTTCCCGTGTGCCCCCCCACCACTAAAGGGACTCTGGTGTTTTGGGGAGGGTCTCTGGGGGCCCCCCCTCCCACTCCCGGGGGTCCCCAGGGTCGCGTGCCCCCCCCCCAAAATAAAATAAGAGTCGCTGCTGATTTTGGGCTCCCCCCCCCATTTAATGGTCGCTGTTTTTGGGGATCCTCAGAGACGCCCCCTCCCCATTCTGGAGGGTCTCTCTACCCCCCAAAAAAACCCTCGAGCCCCCCCCCCCCCCCCTTAGGAGGAGGAGGAAGGTGGGGAGGAAGAGGAGGAGGAGGATGGGGAGGAGGAGGAGGAAGGTGGGAGGAAGAGGAGGATGGGGACTGGGATGGAGCGGAGGAGGATGGAGACGGCCAGGAGGGAGGGGAGAAGGGGAGGAAGAGGAGGATGAGGAGGGGGATGGAGGCGGCGAGCGGGGCGAGGGTGAGGATGGGGAGGGGGATGAAGCGGAGGAGGATGGAGGCGACGGGGAGGAGGGAGAGGAGGATGGGGATGAAGCGGAGGAGGAGGATGGGGATGAAGCAGAGGAGGAGGAGGATGGGGAAGGGAGAAGAGGAAGAGGATGGGGAGGAGGAGGAAGAGGCGGCTGAGGCCGAAGGCAGCTCCTCCGCTGCCGCGCGCGCCGCCGCTCCCGCGGGGCTGCTCCTCCCCCCGCCCACGCCGACCCCCCCCAGTC